GATCTGTTGCCTATATTTCAATTAGCATGATTTGGAATTTGTTTGATTAGGGTGTTTGAGTTCCTTCATATACTATTCTGGTTAATAGTCCCTTGTCAGCTCAAATGATTTAGAATTTCTTTTAGCAGTATGGAGACAAAAAGGTATTCAGACATTATAAGGAATTAGCCAATATTTGTGTGCTGTAAAATCATATATAAAAATTTACTCTCTTTTCTGGTAAAAAAAAAGTTAGAATAATACAATTTAGATCGTGATTATACGCATTTAATTTATAAATGGCCATCAAAACATACCTACAATTAACATAGAATTAAATCGTAACAACACTGCCTTGTGACACGAATCATGCTAATGGAATGATGGACAAACCCATATGAAAAAAGAAGTAAAACTGTATTGAGAAAATTTTATAAATAACTAAATAAATGAAGAGATATACCATGTTTATAAATTAGAATATGGTTATGAAAAAGATGTTTTCTCCCCAAATTGATCTATAGATTCTGAAAAATCCAATTAAAAACTCCCTGCAATTTTTTGAAAAGAAAAATTATGACAAGCTGGTTTCAAAACTAATGTGCAAGATACCACTCAAGAAAAACAAGTTTGGAAAAATCTATCATATTGACTATTAAATGTTATTACCAAACCATAGTAATTAAGGCAGTGTGATGTTGGTGTGGAATTAGACAAATGGGCCAGTGAAGCAGAATATAGAGCAGATAAGCATATCAATTACATGTGAACGCATGAGTTATGCAATAATTGTACTACAGAAATAGTGGAGAAAGGATTTTTTCCTTTTGTGGTATTGATGAATTGACTATGCACATTTTAAAAAGAAAATCAGACTTGTGTTTAATATTATTTATAAAAATTTCCGCATAGATTACAGACATGAAAGAGAAAACAATAAGGTTTTTAGAAAATAATATACAAGACTATCTACATGATCTTGTGGTTGGGAAAGATTTTTTTAACCAAAATACAGGGGAAAAAAAGGCTAATCCTAAAAGATTGAGATATCTGACTTCATAAAAATTACTATGTTCTAGTCACTAAATTTTATATACATATCCTCTGACCCAGCAATTCCACTCATAAGTCTGTACATTAAGATGTCTGTGTGTGTGTGTGTGTGTGTGTATTTTTTTTTTCAGATACTTTTGGAGACCCATAGAAAGCAGCAAGTAAATTTTTTAAAATAATAAATCAAAAATTACTCTTAGCTGGGCACAATGGCTCACATCTATAACCCAGAATTTTTGGAGGCTGAGGGGTGAGGACCATTTGAGGTCAGGAGTTTGAAACTAGCCTCAGCAACGAAGCGAATTCCATCTCTGCAAAAAAAAAACTTTTTTCTTTATCCAGGTATGGTTACATGTGCCTGTGATTCTAGCTACTCCAGAAGCTGAAGCAGGAGACTCTCTTGAGCCCAGGAATTCGAGGTTGCAGTGAGCTATGATTGTGCCACTGCACTCCAGCCTGGGACATAGAGGAAGACCCTGTCTGTAAAAATAAAAATATAAAAAAAAGAAACATTTGCACACATATACAAGGAGAAATATGCAATGATTTTCACTATGGCATTGATTTTGTTGTCAAAAATTTAGAAAATAATAAATAAGGAAAATTTATTATATTAGAATTTCTCAGCCATTAAAATGGAGAAAGTACATAATTATCCATATGGATTAAAGTTAAAATGTAGCATTTTTTAAAAAACTAAGTCACAGAAAAATGTATTAGGTAGAATTACATTAATAAATGTGAAAAGTACAATTTCATATCAGACTGGATTAAGAAAATGTGGCACATATACACCATGGAATACTATGCAGCCATAAAAAAGGATGAGTTTGTGTCCTTTGTAGGGACATGGATGCAGCTGGAAACCATCATTCTTAGCAAACTACCACAAGAACAGAAAACCAAACACCGCATGTTCTCACTCATAGGTGGGAACTGAACAATGAGATCACTTGGACTCGGGAAGGGGAACATCACACACCGGGGCCTATCATGGGGAGGGGGGAGGGGGGAGGGATTGCACTGGGAGTTATACCTGATGTAAATGACGAGTTGATGGGTGCTGACGAGTTGATGGGTGCAGCACAGCAACATGGCACAAGTATACATATCTAACAAACCTGCACATTATGCACATGTACCCTAGAACTTAAAGTATAATTTAAAAAATAAAAATAAAATAAAGTAGAAAAATGAACTGGAATGATATATGCCACAATTACTATAGTCGAAAGCACATAGGGTTAAACAGCTGAAACTGTAGTTCTTGAAGTATTCTTTATTCAAGAAAAGTATTTGAAACAAATGGAACAATATGTGTCTCAGGCTACTGGGGCTTCTATAACAAAACAGTGTAAACTGGGTGACTTAAACATTTTATTTCTTCATGTTCCAGAAGCTGGGAAATCCAAGATAGGGTGCCAGCATGGGCTGGTATTGGTGAGGGCTGTGTTCTTGGCTTGCAGACAGCTGCCTTCTTGCTGCATTCTCACACAGAGGAGAAAGTGCTGGTAGCTCTTCTTTTTCTTGTAAAGACACTAATCCCATCATGAGAACTCCACCATCATGACCTCATCTATGCCCAACTACCTCCCAAAGGCCACACTTCCTAATACCATCAAACTGCGTTACAATTTCACTTTGTTAACTCCAGGGCTTTTCAAATTTGTTTAAATGAAGAACCTAAACCCCTCCTTTTTAGCATAATATCTATTACGATCTGGTTTGCCATGAGATCACACTCTCTTCTTTGTGAATTGCAGCGGCCATAATACACATTGAGGTTGGGACTTCAACATATGAATTGTGTGGGGACACACACATTCAGCCCATAACAATATGCCAACATCTTAAATTCTATGGCATGTATGCCATTATACATTTCTAAGTTTTCAGCAATTTCTTAAAACTTAAAAATCACATACAATTTTTAAGAAATTTTGATCTATTAACAACACATTTTGATCTAGCAAGTTATTTTTCCTAATAAAAATTTGGACATTGAACAGAAATTAATAATACTTAAAACGTGTTCCATGAGTTCATTCTGATGAAGCAGGTTGTATAGGTAGTGGTGGCAAAGCTAGCTCTGTCTCTGTATTAGTCCATTCTCACACTGTTACAGAGATACCACTTGAGACTGGGTAATTTATAAACAAAAGAGGTTTAATTGACTCACAGTTCCACATGGCTGGGGAGGCCTCAGGAGATTTACAATCATGGCAGAAGGGGAAGGGGAAGCAAGGCACCTCTTACATGGTGGCAGGAGAGAGTGCGAAGGAGGAAGCACCAGACACTTACCAAACAACCAGATTGCATGAGGACTCACTTACTATCGTGAGAACGGCCAAGGGGAAATCCATCCCTGTGATCCAATCACCTCCCACCAGGTCTCTCATTTGACACATGGGGATTATAATTCAAGATGATATTCGAATGGGGACACAGAGTCAAACTGTATCAGTCCCCCTAATGCGGACTTATACTACACATGAGCATATTTTAAAACTGAGCCAGGCACAGTGGCTCATGCCTGTAATTCCAACATTTTGGGAGGAAAAGGAGTGCCGATCACTTGAGGCCAGGAGTTCAAGACCAGACTGGGCAACAAAGCATGACCCCATCTCCACAAAAAAAAAAAAAAAATTAAAATTAGCCAGCCATACTGGCATGTGCCCATGGTGCCAGTTGCTCAGGAGGCTGAGGCAGGAGGATCACTTGAGCCCAGGATTATAGTAAGCTATAGGTTATAGTAAGGTTATAGTAAGCTATAATCACACCACTGCATTCCAGCCTGGGTGACCCTGTCTCTAAAAATAAATAAATAAATAAATAAACAAATAAAAAAGCTGAGAACTTTTGGAGTAAAGAAAACAGTTGTGCTTTGTTAAATCCAGGGCTTTTGAAATTTGTTTACATGAAGAATCTAACCTGCTCCTTTCTAGCATAGTATCTATTACTATCTGGTAGGCTGAAAAAGATTATACTACATTTTTGGTGAATTGTGGTATCCATAATACACATTTGATATAATCAGTTTAATCATTGTATACTAATTTCTGTTTCAATTTTTTCTTATAAACATTTCTATTGTATTCTACTATTCAGATATATTTAATTGACTTGATCATTCCATTATAAAGCATTTGCTATTTTCAATTTTTAAATTAATTAAAACTACTCTGAACATTTTAATACAAATTATTTTTCTGCTGTTTATCTATATCCTATTAGTAACAGAATGATATAGTCACGGTTTGTATATTTAGGTTCTGTTGCTTTTTATTTGTAGCATCCTTCACCATTTAGACACACTGACCAGTTTTACATATTTCTTCAGCATATTATGTTTATATGACTAATAGCAAAACCATTCAGTTTTTTAATGACACACTTTGAATTTTATTTTCTTCTCTGTAGGATTCTAGGTGGATAACAACTTTTCCTGCCACTTTTTTTACAGTATGGATCACTATGGTATTGGGACAAGGATACCACAGAAAACAACTAGAAAAAGTACATTATTTGTGACTGTAAAGTCTTTGTGACAGTTCTTTCAAATTGCTCTTGCACTCGTTGTAGAAACTTTATCCCAAGGAAATAATTTGAAATATTTCAAAATAGAAAAACATTCTATTTTGTCTAAATTTGAAATATCAAAGATCTTAGACCTAAATAGAATGCTTCATGATACAGGAGTTATCAAATATTTTCTCATGAATTCTATGCATTATTATGACAAATTAAGAAAACATATGAGTATAGATAATTATTTCAAACAAAAAGTATAGAATTCAAAATTTTAGAAAGCATATAATTGTAATAAACAAGGCTATTAAAAAACAATAAACTTTAAAATTTTAATCTTTGGTTAGAGAACTATGGGTGAATTTTTATTTTTCACAGTTTTCCATATTTTCTAAATTCTCTATAATACATATGGGTCCTATAATTATTTTCTAGCTTACCTTGATTTATGACTCCTTTCTCCACTTAAATGTTGAAAATTTAATTTCCAGAGCTCTTCATGATAAGGGGAAGATATGCCTCCATATGTATTAATCATAGGTGATTTGTTAACAGGCATATTCACCAATCATAAATTCTAAAAGGAATATTAAATGTATGTTAGCATACAAATGTACTCATAGTAGCAAATAATATGTTATGCAAATTCATTATTTTTGGAAAAGAATAGCAAGAACTAAAGTTAGGCTTAAGAATAATTCTATACTAAGGAAGAATTTAAATAAATAAGTAAACTATAAGGATATTATGGAAATAAGGACAAAAAGTTACTATTACAAGTGTATCCATCTATATATCTAGTCTTTATTATGCTTTTGCAGTTTCATCAGCAAAATCATTGAAAGAGCAGCATGGCACGGTAGCTAAGAGAATAGGCTATACAACCAGACTAAGTGCTCTGTGCCGCAGTTTCCTCACTTGTAAAATGAGAATAGTATTTCCTCATAGAGTTCCTGTGAGAAATAAATAGTTCAATACATGTAAATTGCTTAGAATGAGCCTAGTATATAGGAAACTTTATGTAATCACTTGTGATCATATCACTGTTGTCTGTTCTTTAAAGTTTCTTGTAAACTCCTTTTCATGTCTCCTGTCTTTTTGTCATTTAGATAGTTAGTGCTTTCTCTGCTTGTTTTTTACACCCAGAAATTTTTTCCTTTTGATTCATATCTGAGTATATTCTATGAGTGCATAACCAAAACTAAGACATCCTATTTGTGTTTAGTGGAGTTTTAGTCAGCAAAATGAAGTAATGAAATGGGTAGTCATATCTATACTGCATTTTTTGTCTTTCATTTTTTAAATAGCTACATTTAAAAATTGATCATTAGATCAGTCAAAGTTTTGGTAGGAAATGCAGGGCACACTCAAATAGGGTACCTGAATGAAGGAATTCTTTCCAAAGACATGGGCAGAGCTATAAAACAAGATGGTTGTGTTCTCAGGGACAGAACAAAATAAACTGTTATCACTCTTAGGGCTGAAGAGGAAGATAGACCAAGACAGAATAACTATTGAGGAGATGTGCTTAATAAAAAGCTTTGGCCTTTAAGAGAGAAATGCAGCCAAACTGTGGTTGCCCTCTAAGAGGGAGCCTGGAGGATAGAAACTCCAATCTCAGTCTCCTTGCATGCTCCACTTTAGTCATCTGCCTGTGCTACCCATTTGCCAAACCAAACTAGAAGCCAGAAAGTACAGGGGCGAAGTGAAGAAGAATGGGAAGCAGATCTGAGCGGCAATGGGAAAATATCCAGCAAAAGATGGGTCATAGACACAAAATGTCATTGTCTATTGCTATTGGTATATATATCTGCTTGGTATATATAAGATCTGCTTCTAATAATCCACATTCATCAGAATATAAAACAAATGGGTTTTTTTTAAGTCAGCAGCTGTGCTGAGCTATATACAGGAGTGCCATCCAGACTGGGTCTAACTAATGTAAAACAAAAGTTATTCCCAAGCAGGATTAATATTTTCAGACATTTATTTTTCTTTAACAGCTAACAAAATCACACTGGGCATTTCTACCTTAAAATGCATTCAGGAAAATAACAAATTCATATTATCAATAAAAATGCATCATAAGGTACAGCTAAGCACATGCAGCCTAAAGGAATAATACTCAATAAGTAGGAATTGCAAAGGGAGATAATTTGATAAATCTAGTAACAAATTTTGCAAATTTGACAAGTGCTTATTGTGAATTACAAAAAATTATGAAGGTAAGGTGTTTAACTAAAGATAAATTATAAAAAATTATGAAGGCAAGATGTTTCTTTTAAGGAAAAGAAAACACCTTCAAAAGAAGACCAAAAGAAACTCATGAGGCTATAAAAGCAAGCCCACCAAAGACTTCATGACTAAAACATCAAAAGCTATGAACAGATACTTCTCAAAAGAAGACATATATGAGGCCAACAAACATATGAAAAAAAGCTCATCATCGCGGTCATTAGAGAAATGCAAATCAAAACCCCAATGAGATACCATCTCATGCCAGTTAGAATGGTGATCATTAAAAAGTCAGAAAACAACAGATGCTGGAGAGGATGTGGAGAAATAAGAACACTTTTACACTGTTGGTGGAAGTGTAAATTAGCTCAACCATTGTGGAAGACAGTGTGGCGATTCCTCAAGGATTTAGAACCAGAAATACCATTGGACCCAGCCATCCCATTACTGAGTATATACCCAAAGGATTATAAATCATTCTACTAAAAAGACACATGCACACGTATGTTTATTGTAGCACTATTCACAATAGCAAAGACTTGGAACCGACCCTAATGCCTATCAATGATAGATTGGATAAAGAAAATGTGACATATATACACCATGGAATACCATGCAGACATAAAAAGGATGAGTTCATGTCCTTTGCAGGGACATGAATGAAGCTGGAAACCATCATTCTCAGCAAACTAACACAGGAACAGAACCAAACACCGCATGTTCTCACTCATAAATGGGAGTTGAACACTGAGAACACATGGATACAGGGAGGGGAACATCACACACCAAGGTCAGTCACGGGGTGGGGGGCAAGAGGGGGATAGCATTAGGAGAAAGACCTAATGTAGATGATGGGTTGATGGGTGCAGCAAATCACCATGACATGTATATACCTATGTTAACAAACCTGCATGTTCTGCACATGTATCCCAAAACTTAAAGTATAATAAAAACACAAAACATTGCATATATCAGAAATATCTAGAAATATAAATTTGTGTTAGACATACTCTTAGATAAATTAAAGAGTTTAATGCCAAATGAATGGAAAAGAAAAAAATACACGCCATCAAGAAAGAAAAAAAGAAATTGAAGGGAAATTGAAGGCTAAAACTGGTTTTCATGTACATTATGTTAGGCAAATTGACCTGTAGCTTTTGGCTATTTCCTGAGATATTTCACAGAGTTGGTTATAATTAATCACATTTTTTGATTTTCAAGAAGTTAGAAACTATTTCATATATTATCTTTTAATCACTGAACTTATTGTCCAACGATTTCTCACATCTGCTGCTAATAGTGGTAGATATTTGCACTTTCTGCTCAACATGTAAGTTCCACAATGCCCTGTTAAAGAAACTTCTCCAGTGGAATGGGATAAAAACATCAAAAATGTAAGTTTGTAAATGCTTACTCTAAATTTCTGGCTTATTTTAGCAGTACTGGTAAAAGTATTTAACCAACACAAGTTTGTAAACCACTATTTGAGTAGTGTTGTGATATACAAGAGAGACAATTTGTGCCCTCTAATATATTTTATTACTTAGGATTGCTTTTGATTAAGAGGAATGGGAAAAAATAGCCAAACAACTTCAAATTTCCAAAAAGAAAAAAAAATTAATGCCTCCAGAAATATTTTGCATGGAGATGTTGGAATTAAATCCTCAGTAAAGTAAATAAACAAATAAAAAGTTTCAAAATAACCCCCCCCTCTAAAAATAAAAATAGAGAATCTGAAATTGTCATCAACTTTCAGGAAAATATTAGTTCTTTTCTAAAGATATTCTTCATCAAATTCCCAGTACATCCCAAAGCTTGGAGCTATCAACAAAAGAATTTAGTATTATTGCTATTATTATTGTTATTGCATGTACAACAGGGCCACATTGCATTGTGCATTATTTTAAGATTTGTTTTCCAACTCCAACACAAACTACAAAATATCTGAGAAAATGTAAGCATTTAATTTTTACATGTTATTTTGCAATTATTCTAATTTACATCAAGTCTGTTTTTTAACCCACTTTTAACATAATTAGCTAAACCAGCAAAGTAAAAAATCGTCATTTTATTCTAATTTGATGATGACAAAATAAACTTTACTAGACCTTTCTTGGTCAAGAAAAAACAATAATCAAGAAGCAGGAATGTGAAAAGGAGTTAATTTGAGAAATGTAGTAATAAATGTAAATTTGACAAGTATTTACTGTGAATCACATAAAATTATGAAGGTAAAAATGTTTAACTTGCATGAATGTGAAAAAGTAATGAAGCAAATAATAATGATGTTATTCCAAAGAAATAAGAAACCAAGAATTTCTACTAGTCTTTTACGTATTGAGTTTGAGTTTTGAGGTGCTAAAACCAAAGTATGTTATTTCTGAATATGTATGTCTAATGAAGCAACAAACATCACCTTTTAAATGCAATTTATGTAAACCATAAAGAAGTTCAAACTAAAAAATGCTTGAAAGTATTACAAGAACCTGAGAAGTATCAATATTTCATCTATTGGCTGTAGCTAACAGCACTTTGTATTGCTAAGACTAAAAAAGTATTGTTAATTGACAAACAAGAGTCACAGACTGCATCAGAGATTTCCAATGAATCTTTGCCATGTATTCAGCACTGGTCGACCACATAGTGCAATGTACTCAGCACTGGTTGACAATATGGAGACAAACTTAGAGAACAAATAAATCTAGTAAACTATTTTTCATTGCAACTTAAGAAATGCACAGACGTTGCAAACTTCAGCAATTGCTTTACCACAAGTGCAATTTGGACATATTAGTGACGTAAAGGTAGAACTGTTAGATTAGCACCATTATTTACAAGTATAATTAGCTCTGAATGGAATAAAACTAGAAAAGCTTGCATTTGTTATTATTATTTTATTTATGTATTTATTTTGAGACAGAGTTTTACTCTGTCACCCAGGCTGAATGGAGTGTAGTGGTGCCATCTCAGCTCACTGTAACCTCCACCTCACAGGTTCAAGTGATTCTCTGCCTCAGCCTCCCAGGTAGCTGGGATTACAGGCGAATGCCACTATGCCCAGTTAGTTTTTGTATTTTTAGTAGAGACGGGGTTTCACTATGTTGGTCAGGCTGGTCTTGACCTCCTGACCTCTAGTGATCTGCCTGCCTCAGCCTCCCAAAGAGCTGGGATTACAGGTATGAGCCACCGTGCCTGGCCTTAAAAATTCTTACAAGTAAGCTTTGTGTAGGACCACTGCAATGGAATGTAATCACTTGAAGTAGTTATTCAAATGGAGGAGTTTACAACAGAAACTTTCTAAAAGCTGGGAAATACTGACTCCAGCTAAATAACGAAAATGACG